GTTCCACCGTTTGGTCGATTTGCATATTATCCTTTTATTATAGAGGATAGGATATTTGAATGTCATATACCTGAAGCTACTATGATGTTATATGTCATATCTTAATGTTAAAATGTGTATTTGATCATGTAACAGGTTTTGTAATAAGGTCACAATTTTCTTTATCATTGTGGATCAGAAGAATACAGAGGCTATGAAGAGTTAGAGGAACGTACATTATCATATTAAATACAGGTGACCTTTGAACAACGAAGTCAGGGGTTCTGAACTCCCACACAGTATAAAATTAGCATATAACTTCTGACTACCCCAAAACTTAACTACTAATAGCTTACTGTTGACCCAAAGTCTTACCAATAACATAAACAGTTGATTAACACTGTATGTGTATTATATACTATACTAGAGGCCTGTTGCACGAAGAGATTCGTGCAATAGGCCTTCCCTTCCCTTGGCTGCTAGCACCGGTTTGCCTCTGGCACCCAGGACCCAGGCCTTCGCTCCGCCGGCCCCGGAACCGTCAGGCTTCGCTCCGCCACTTGGAGCCTATGTATGCAAATTAACCGCCATCTTTGTGGGGTTAATTTGCATACTCCTGATTGGCTGGTTAGTGTAGTGAAGGTACGGTCAATTTACATGTTTGTCTATTATTAGGTAAGGTTCTTACAATAAAGATAGAAAAGAAGATCATAAGGAAGAGAACATTTATAGTGTTGTATTATAATACATTAAGCACCATAAAGTTTACAAGATTAATCCTGTCAGTACCTACATCAGTATTGTTTTATATGATACAAAATACTGTATGTTATACATATTACATTAGACAACAAAAATGAAAAGATAATGTGAAAAAGAAATTTACATTTACAGGTATGATTCATGCATTGATAATGAAGCAACAATATTGATTGCTGTATGGTAGTTTAGTGTAATTGATATGATTGCTTCATGGTAGCCTAACCTATACATTAATGCAGTGATGGTGAACCTATGACACGCATGTCAGAGGTCGATTGCTTCATGGTAGCCTAACCTATACACTAATGCAGTGATGGCGAACCTCTGACATGCGTGTCAGAGGTGACACGCGAGCTCATTTTTTTGGTTGATTTTTCTTTGTTAAATGGCATTTAAATATATAAAATAAATATCAAAAATATAAGTCTTTGTTTTACTATGGTTGCAAATTTCAAAAAATTTCTATATGTGACACGGCACCAGAGTTAAGTTAGGGTTTTTCAAAATGATGACACGCCGAGCTCAAAAGGTTCGCCATCACTGCACTAATGAATGAACCATTATAAATTTTTCATAGCATATAGTATTACAGTCATAGTCCTAATACAGTATTGAAGACATTACATTTTTGAAAAACCACTTACCTGTGATAAGGTGATACCTAGTTTCTCCAATTGCGAGAGATAGAAGCATACTGTATGTTAATGTAATTCTTTGAAAGCAAAGTTATGAAACAGTAAGAAAATGAAAATATTACTAATTTTACACTAAATATCACTCACCTTATGCCTATGTAAGGATAGGCTATCCACCTCAATACAGGTTTTGCAGATGATGTCCTTACACAATGAACACCTAGGTGATGATAACAAAAATGTCTCATACAGTTATTAGATTTTCACATGAAGACAGGCATACACAGAAAAGTTCCTTAGCTTTGCACCATGATAATGATTTACTTACTATTCATTAAGTGGAAATGGATCATCATGAAAGTCTTCATCCTAGTCTTCATGCTGAGTATGCTGAGGATGGGGTTGGTCTTGCTCTCTTGGGTGGCAGAAGCAGAAGAGATGGAAGCAGAGGCAGGCACACTCTAACTTTATGGAAATACCTTTATTTTCTGTCTGACTTTTCTGCTTTTTCATTTCTCTAAAAATGTTTCTATTCAGTACCAATCCTTCCACATTTGCTTTACTGTGCCTGTATCATAGAAGGGTTCTTGTCATGAAATAAGTAAAAAGCAGTCTTGAATAATCAGACCCTTCTGCTAGATTGACGCAGGTCAGTTTGCGTTCTGGCACTGCCTCTTCATCTTCCTCTTCCTCTGGCACTGGTTCAGATGCACTCATCTGCATCATGTTGTCTTCTGATGTGATGTCTTTTAGCTCTTGAATTTCTCCAAGATTCTTACCCCCCCCCCCTTTTTTTTTTTTTTTGCAATACCCACAATCTCATGATTTCCTTGTTTGGTTCTCATAAATTCTGTAAAGTCAAGCACATCATTTGGACACAGTTAACAACAGCAGGAATTTATTTTTTTTAAAAATATATTTGATTTTTTACAGAGAGGAAGGAAGAGGGATAGAGAGTTAGAAACATCGATGAGAGAGAAACATCGATCAGCTGCCTCCTGCACACCCCCTACTGGGGATGTGCCCACAACCAAGGTACATGCCCTTGACCGGAATTGAACCCAGGACCCTCCAGTCCACAGGTCGACGCTCTATCCACTGAGCCAAACCGGTCAGGGCAGGAATTTATTGTTTTGGGCTTGATGGCTTTCATGGCTTTTTCTGTAGCAACGATGGCATCTCCAGTGGTGTAATCCTTCTAGACCAGCGGTTCTCAACCTGTGGTCGCGACCCCTTTGGCGGTTGAACGACCCTTTCACAGGGGTCACCTAAGACCATCCTGCATATCAGATATTTACATTACGATTCATAACAGTAGCAACATTACAGTTATGAAGTAGCAACGAAAATAATTTTATGGTTGGGTCACAACATGAGGAACTGTATTTAAAGGGCCAGAAGGTTGAGAACCACTGTTCTAGACTTTCTATCGGTGTCAACTTCCATAGGGTGATAATCCTTTCCATAGAGTACCATGCATGATACAAAGACTTTAAAGGTCTTTGTGACCCCCTGATCTAGAGGCTGAATTAGAGATGTGTTTGGGGGCAAGCAGATCACTTAGATGCCATTGGTGTTGAAGTCATGGGGTCTGGATGGCCAGGGGCACTGTCCAATATTAAAAGAACTTTAAAAGGCAGTCCCTTACTGGCAAGTTAATTCTTGCCTTTAGGGACAAAGCATCAATGGAACTAATTGAGAAAAAGGGTTCTTGTTGTCCAGGCTTTCTTGTTGACTGAAAGCTGGTATTTATCCTTTCCCTTCAAGGCTCAGGTTAGCAGCGTCATATATAAGGGCACTCCTGATCATAAACCCGCCTGCATTTGCACAGAACAGTAGAGCTAGGCTACCCTTCCTATCTTAACTCCTGGCGCTTGCTTCTCTGCCTTATTAATAAGTGTCCTTTGTGGCTCCCCCCCTCCCCCCCAGATTAGTGCACTTTCACCTGCATTAAAAAACTGTCCAGGCAGATATCCTTTCTCCACAATGATTTTCTGATTAGCATCTAGGAACTTGTGTGCTGCCTCTTGGTAGACAGAAGCTGCTTCTCTGTTAACTTGAGATTTTAAAGCCAAACCTCTTTCTAAAAGTATCTAATCATTCATTGCTGGCATTAAATTCTCCAGCTTTAGAACCTTCACCTTCCTTTTGCTTTAAATTGTCATATAGTGACTTTGCTTTTTCTCAAATCGTATTAGGTGTGCCTCACATCTATAGGTATGCCTTTCTTAAGCAATCCTGCACCCACATAAAAGCTGCATTTTTAGTACTAGATAAAAGGTGTTTTGCAAAAAGTTCAAGGTCTTCATGCCTGCTGGTATAGTTACAGTGACAGCTTCACAGTTGTTTTTTTTAACACCGATCCTTATAGTGGATTAATTTATCTTGAAATGGCAGCAGTTGCAGCTGCAGAACTCCATCTACAGTACTTATCAAGCAATTTTTCTTGTCATGTCATGTCTTCTCTGCTTCTTGGGAGCACTTTTAGAGGCAGTGCTAGAGGCACTTCGTTTGGCGCCATGGTGTTATTCAAGGCTTACAGTGCTGCACTAAATATGACAAAAAATACATGAGACCCTGAGAGATCACTTTTTACTGCAATATGCAATTTACCGGGGAGACGAACTGCTCAGAGATGATTAGCATTTACACAGCATTTTAAGCAGATACTTGCAACACTTGAGTCCACCACAATAGCAACAGTAGGTGGCTATGAAATTATACAGTAGTACAGTATGTATTACAGTTATTTTACATTTAAAATCATATTTTACAGTTATTAAATACTACATCTGTAGGTTTACATTTCTCTCAACTGCGAATGGCACTGTGTATGGTCTGTATTAGTGCATAAGTTTTGGTAAATTTTAATTTTTTAAAATATATTTTTATTGATTTCAGAGAGGAAAGGAGAGGGTGAGAGAGAGAGAGAAAGAAACCATCAATGATGAGAGAGAATCATTGATCAGCTGCCTCTTGCACACCCCAGATTCTCCCCACTGGGGATTGAGCCTGCAACCCAGGCATGTTCCCTGACCAAGAATCGAACCATGACCTCCTGGTTCATAGGTCAACCACTGAGCAGCCACGCCGAGGCGAAAAGCTATATTTAAAACTGAATATATATATATATCTTGACCTTAGTTTTCAACTACAGATTATACATAAGAAAAAAACTAGAAAGAAATATGCAAAAATAATATCAGTGAGTACCTCTGGGTGGTAGGGATTTGGAGTGGGGTATTTTTCCCAGTCCTTCAGTAAGGATCTGTTATTTATGTAAATCAGGAAAAAGTGATATAAAAAAGACTCATGCCCAGCCGGCCTGGTTTAGTGGTTGAACATCGACCTATGGACCAAGAAATCACGGATTGATTTCCGGTCAGGGCATATGCCCAGGTTGCAGGCTCGATTCCTAATCTGGGGTGTGCAAGAGGCAGCTGATCAATGATTCTCTCTCATCATTGATGTTTCTCTCTCTCTCTCTCTCTCTCTCTGTTCCCTCCCTCCCCTCTCCCTTCCTATCTGAAATTAATAAAAATATATATTTTTTAAAAAGAATGAGTAACAATGAATGTTACAATTGTGACCATTAACTTAGACAAATCATGTTTGTAATTTTAGCTACTGAAACTGAAGGAGATGTGCCAGAGCTTTATCATCAAAGAAAAGGGGAAATAGCAAGATGCTGGATCAAATACTGTTTGACACTCATGCAGAATGCTCAACATTCAATGCAGGTAATGCAGTCAGAGTCGCCTTTTCTTAAATGAGCAGGACATAAGTAAAAGCTTAAAATGGGGATTATGCTTCTTGGGCTCATTGCGTGTTCATCATGCAAGACATGCAGAATGCTCTCATAAGTATCTCTTACTCTATCTTTTAAAATCTTACCGTTCAAGGCCTATCTCAAATACCACTTCTTCCTTGAAGACTTTCCTTTGGATAGAATATAATTCCCTGAGAAGTGGGATCTACATCATATTTATATTATATCACCATCTTCAGGTACACTTGGTTCTCAATAAATAATGATTAAATGCATAATTCTTCTCCCCCTTCAGATATCATCTCCTTCCTGTAAACTCCATAGAACTTTTCTTACCCCTTCCTAAGTCATTTAAATTCTGCTTTGTATTATCCCTATTCATGTTCCTTTACCTCTTTAGACTATAAGCACCTTGAGGGCAGGAAACAATTCTTACTAATCTTATATATTTTAAGCAATATATATATATATATATGGTGGGGCAAAAGTGGGTTTACATATGGAAAATAACACAGTAATTAACACAATAGTTCATAAATAATAATATAAGAATAAACTTTCATGTACTCACAACTGTAAACTTACTTTTGTCCCACCCTGTAAATATGTGTATTTATAAAAATAAATATAAATATATTTGGAAACAGCCCTGCCAGTTTGTAGCTATGTGCTCTAGGCCAGCGGTCACCAACCTGTGGTCCGTAGGTCCGAAAGGTTGGTGACCACTGCTCTAAGCAATTTACTTAATCTCTCTGTGCTTCAGTTTTCTCACTGTTAACCATAGTATGTACTTAACAGTGTTGTTATGAGAGTTAAATTGCATGTGTGTGTGTGTGTGTGTGTGTGTGTGTATGGCTCAGAAAAGTGCCCGAGATATACCAAGTCCTCAGTACATGTCAAACATCATCATTATTACTGATCTATACTGGATCCTAGTTTCTAACCACTAAAGAGGAAAAATCATTCAGATGCAATACACTAAGTTAGATACATCGACTTTTCCTAGAGGAGTTAACTATGCTTTATTTATTTCTACTTGCATTCATTAAAGTAAAATGATTTTTACTAGTAAATAATATAGAACCTTGTAAAACTATAAACAAAATAAAACTGAACTACAAAACCCTAGAAGCATAGATCTTACAAAGATGAGAACATTTTAGAGATGGAGGGTAAAGAAGTAGGGAAAGCAGGGGAAAGAAGTAGAGAGTTTTGTATTTAGAGAAGTTGGAGCCAGGAAGAGCTGTCTGCTTTCTTCTCAAAAAGCAGCCTAGAATGCATGTAAATAAACAAGCAGCCAAGAAGCAAGTCAACAAGATTTAGAGATGTAGGGCCTGCATTTGAAGTAATTGTGTCAAGCAAAATGCACTGTGGTTTAACTCTTACCCTTCAGGTAGATGGTGTTCCCCACACTGGGCACCAGGACTTACCACCCGACTCCTTTAAGCTCACATAGTGGCCATGCTACAAAATGACTCAGATTTTCCTTAATCTGACCTTTTGTGTTGCTTTTACTTCATCCTTTGATCATCTGTTTACTTCAAAGGCTTCAATTAAATTTAAACATACACACACTTATTTAAGTATTTATGCCATCTCTATGCTAGTCATTGTACTATAATGAACAAAAAAAACAACCCTGTTTTTTGACTTCATGTACAAGTACAGCTTTGATAAGTTCCACAAAGAGACACATGATGTGAGAAGATATAATAGGAGGAAGTAACATTTGAAGAAAGCTCTGGGACAGAGTAGGGATGACCTGGGCTGGAGAAAGGGGGAGCACTGCTCCCAGGGGCGGACGCAGCATATTAGAAAGTTCTAGGGCGTAGGGAACATGATACCAGAAGGGAGGAAACAGAGGCTCAAGAGGCTGCATGAGAGAGAGAGAGGATGTGATGGAAGAGAGTTAGAAAGGGGCTAAAACATGCAGGGCCTTCAAGGAATGGAAGGCTGGAAGGGTTTTGGAACAATCACTTTGGTAGTAGAATGGAGAGCGAATTGAGGGAAAGCAAGAGTGGACGGATGAGGGAGATTAGAAGACCACTGCAGCAGTCAGGTGAGATGTGAAGGTAGCTTGGTCTAGGGTGGTGGCAGAAGAGATGGAAGAAGAAGAAAAGAATGGATTCAGGAGGTATTTTAGAACAATGGTTGCCAACCGGTGGGCCACGGGCCACTGGTGGTCCGTGAGATCCAAAAGATTGGCGACCACTGGTTTAGAAACCAAAACATTAAGGACCTGGTGATGGATTTGAAGTGTGGGTTAAAGGGACAAGAGAGAGACTTGTCAAGGATGATTCCTAGGTTGCTGGCTGTCGATGAAGTGTTCTTCCCTAAGATAACACTAGAACAGGAACCTGTTTGCTGAAGAAGCATGGGAGTTCCATTGTGGACGTGCTGAGATGCCTCTGAATCAAGCATGTCAAACTCAAAGGCTAACACGGGCCAAATAAGGCATGCGGCCCGAGGGCCGAGAGTTTGACATGCTTGCTCTGAATATTCTGAGAGGAGATGCCGCATTCGGAGCTGTGCTTATGGGTCTGAGCTTGAGAAGAGGTCTGGGCTGAAGCTGTACACTTGCGAGTCATCCTTACATGAATGGCAATTGTAACCATGGTGTGGGTGGAGTCACCTGTTTAGAGCAGTGCTGCCCCGTAGAAATATAATGCTAGCTATATATGTAATTTCAAATTTCCTAGTGGCCACATTAGAAAAGGGGGGAAAAGCCCAGCCGGCATGGTTCAGTGGTTGAGGGTCGACCTATGAACCAGGAGGTCATGGTTCAATTCCTGGTCAGGGCACATGCTTCGGTTGGGGGTGTGCAGGAGGCAGCCAATCAGTGACTCATCATTGATGTTTCTATCTCTCTCCCTTCTGCTCTGAAATCAATAAAAAATATATTAAAAAAGAAAAGAAAAAGCAGGTGAAATTAATTCTATTTTTAATCCAGAATATAAAAAATACTGTCATTTCTATAGGTCATCAATATTAAAAACTAAAATATTTTAAATTTACAATTGAAAATTTATTTATACAAAAATTTCTTGGAAATTAAGTATTATTTTAGCCCTAGCCGGTTTGGCTTAGTGGGTAGAGCGTCAGCCTTCGGACTGGAGGGTCCCAGGTTCGATTCCAGTTAAGGGCACATGCCCAGGTTGCGGGCTCCGATCCCATTGTGGGGCATGCAGGAGGCAGCCAGTCAATGATTCTCTCTCATCATTGATGTTTCTCTCTCTCTCTCCCTCTCCCTTCCTCTCTGAAATCAATAAAAACATATTTTTTAAAAAGTATTATTTTACATAGGCCATGTCTCAGCTTGGACTCGCCACATTGCAAGTGCTCAGTAATCATCCATACATGGCTCTTATTTTGAACAATGTAGGAGAGAGACAAAATCAAGAGAAAAGAAGGAAAGGCCTTGAGGTTGAACATTAAGGGATCTGACCATTAATTTTATTGGTCAGGAAGAGGAGGGTGAGCTTAATTTTTGTTGTTGTTGATCCTCACCGGAGGTTATTTTTTCCAATGGTTTTTAGAGAGAGTAGAGGGAGGGACGGGGAGTGGGGGGAAGAGAGAGAGAGAGAGAGAGAGAGAGAGGGAGAAACTTGGATCTGAGAGAGACACATCGATTGGTTGCCTCCCGCATGTGCCCTGAATGGGCCAGGGATTGAATCTGCAACCCAGGTACATGCCTTTGATGGGAAATCGAACCCTTGACCTTGACCCTTCAGTGCGCAGGCTGATGCTCCCACACTGGCCAGGGCTTACTCTATTTTTAAACCATTTTAGTTATATATGGTTTTTTTTTGCCCCAGGAGGTAGAAGAGAGAACTTTTAACTACAAAGTTAGATTTAACTCTATCTTCACTTTAATGTCTTTAAAATACCTAGAGTATTTCTCTGTACTATATTTCTCTAAATAACTTATCTGTAGCATAAACACCATATCATTAATCTTAATGACATGTCTGAAATATTTTTAGGATTTATATTACAGTTTTACTCTGTTAAAATCTAATAACGTATTACATGTATATACTGTCTCACAGTGTTTAAAGTTCTTTCCTATGTATTTATCTTATCTGAAGGAATAACTATAAATGAGTTTGAGTCCCAAAAGAGGAAATAATATGTCCTGGCCACTGTACTCAGTTTGCTGCAGTGTCGTCCCATAAACCAGAAGGTGGTGGATTCGATCCCCAGTCAGGGTGCATACAGGAGGCAACCATCGATGTTTTATCTCTCCACTCAATAAAATAAAAAAATAAATAGTAATAAAAGTATATAAATGGTTAATCTATTTAAATACTTCTTCCACATTTCTTGTGTTTTTAATATAATTGAAATACAGTTTCTCAGAGAAAAGG